GGTGGCTGGGAGAGCTTTTGAACAATTAAGACTTGTGAGCCAGCTGTGCCCGTACCTTGGGAAGTCTGATCTGGCTATAGTGGTCCACACTCTTGTTACATCCCGAATAGATTATTGCAACACGCTCTATGTGGGGTTGCCTTTGAAGACTGTTCGGAAACTCCAACTAGTCCAACGGGCAGCAGATAGACTACTCACTGGAGCATCATACAGGGAGCACACCATCCCTCAGTTATGTCAGCTCCACTGGCTGCCGGTCCAGTTCCGAGCACAATTCAAAGTGCTGGTCTTAGCCTATAAAATCCTATACGGTTCTGGCCCAGCGTACCCTGTCCAAACATATCTCCTTCTACGTCCCACCTCAGAGTTTAAGATCTTCTGGGGAGGCCCTGCTCTCGGCCCTGCCTCTGTCACAAACATGCTTGGCAGGGACGAGGGACAGGCCTTCTTGGTGGTGGCCCCCACCTGTGGAATTCACTCCCCGGGGAAATTAGATTCTCGACGTCATTTCCTTTAGAAAGAAGTTAAAAACGTGGATGTGGGACTAGGCCTTTGGGTAATCTTGCTGACAAGGACAGTGACAATGATGACAATCGTTATGGAAATAGACTATGGACATGCTTGATGGAGTCTCTAACTACAGAAGTCGGCTCAGATGAGGCCACCAGGCTGTTATTGAAACAGAAACAGATTTTAATTAATTAATGTGATTTAATGTTTTAAATGTATGTAATGATTGGATTTTATTATGTATTTTATTATGTGTACATTGAATTGTTGCTGGCTGCAAGCTGCCCTGAGTCACACACCCCCCCCCCGGGGGGGGGGAGGTTGAGAAGGGCAGGGTACAAATATCTGAAATAATAATAATAATAATAATAATAATAATAATAACCAGGCTAAGAAAAATCAGGTTGGTAGGCCAACACAACAGAGGAAAGCAGGTGAGAGAAGGTTAGTCTATTCCAGCTAGCAGTGGCTGGTTTGTACAACAGGTAGAAGCCCCTCCCTGTCACCTGGAACATGATCCATTTAGCACAGTGGTTCCCACCCTTTTTTTGACCAGGGACCTCTCTCCAACATTAGTATCAACTATCAAAGGGGCTACAAATCGGTTTTTGGTCAACTTTAGATTTGGTTTGGTTATTTGTGGTACTGATTCAGAAAATTGCATTGGATAGACCACATCAGCTCTAGTTCCTGATACAGAACATATGCCACCCAGTAGTTGCAATCTGCTCGCACACAGAAACCCATATTTAATAATCTAGAGCTGATGTGGTCTACCCAAGGGGTTAGTGACAGCAAAGGAGTGGCAGGCAGTGTGAAAGAAGAAAAAATAAAATAAAATAAATTAAGTAAACAAATAAAAAGGAAGTAGGCTTGCGGACCAGATTTTAGTCCTCGTGGCCGACTGGTGGTCCGTGGCCCACAGATTAAGAACCACTGTTATAGCAGGAGAAACTATACAATCCAATCTACATATTCAAAATCTATCTGACATTTTCCATTGCTGAACAGTTCCTAACATCAATACGTTTTCCCCCAAGGTTTAGGTGGAATCTCTTTTCCTGTGATTTGAATCCGTTGCTCTGTGTCAGTCTTTGCGCAGCAGAAAACAAGTTTTGGTTTTGTGTATTGTTGAAGGCTTTCATGGCCGGAATCACTGGGTTGCTGTGAGTCTTCCGGGCTGTATGGCCATATTCCAGAAGCATTCTCTCCTGACGTTTTGCCTGCATCTACGGCAGGCATCCTCAGAGGCTGTGAGACCTCACAACCTCTGAGGATGCCTGCTGTAGATGGAGGCGAAACGTCAGGAAAGAATGTTTCTGGAACATGGCCATACGGCCCGAAAAACTTACAAAACCCCAAGTTTTGATGGATTTCCATGACAGAGTAGGGGTTTACTAAACGCTGTTTTCCTGGAGTCCTAGTTTATTGCAATACCACATTGGCTCCTTTCAATTCCAACTTTATATTAATTGCTTGGTGGCTAGAAATGTCCATGCTTTCATTTCCCAAGTAGAGGTATAGAATCACAGAATCATAAGCTGAATCCACACCTTCAAAATAATTCTTAACTCAATTGTGTTGTTCCTCCAATTACAATGTGAAAGTGCTTCTTTTGTGCTTTTTTTACTCTGCAATTTCTAGGAAAAACTGGCTTTATAAAATGTGTGCCCTGTAAAGAATCATTCAGGAGGCCAAGGAAACTCTACTCATCTGCCATTTCTGTATGTTTTGTCAGCCAGCTTCAAGACACTTCCCTCCACGGACTCTGTGATTCTAATATCCAATTGGATTGCTTGCAATTACACAACCTCGTACAACCTTGGCAGACAGCTCAGAGGATTGTGGAACTGTTGCCAATGCACAAATAGCCCATTATTTGAAATTCCTCTATCCTCTTTCTAGGAGGAATACATCTTCTCAGGCAACTCCCTATGTATTTGGCTCTTAGGGTAAGTGCTAACTGAGGCTGCAACACACCCATGTTGCTTTGTCTTTGAGGGGAGGAAACCTGAAGAAGCCTTGATAAAATACCCTTTTTTTTGCCTTCTAAAATATCTAAAATATGAGATGAGAAATGTATGGCCCTTCTTAAATGGTAGGTAGATCTGATACGATCTGATCCCCAGTAACTTGTGGAGTGCCATATGTTCCCCGCCCTTGTCATAAACAGAGATGAAAATTGTTTTCAATTAAAAACAACAGTTGTTTTTAATTGAAAAACGATGCTTTCTATGAATACGCAGAATTTCATTCCTCCTTCTTTTCAGTGGGATAGCATTGAGGCATGAAGAAACTATCCTTTGCTTACAACAAACATCTAGTTTTACGTATTGTTGAAGGCTTTCATGGCCAGAATCACTGGGTTGTTGTGAGTTTTTTGAGCTGTATGGCTATGTTCCAGAAGCATTCTCTCCTGACGTTTCACCCACATCTAGGGCAGGCATCCTCAGAGGCTGTGGTTTTGTGTATTGTTGAAGGCTTTCATGGCCAGAATCACTGGGTTGCTGTGAGTCTTCTGGGCTGTATGGCCATATTCCTCAGATATATGGAACAGAGGAAAGGAGTTGAACAGATGTAAAAAAGATGGCTTGTTATGAGTTTTCTAGGCTGTATGGCCATGTTCCAGAAGCATTTTCTGCTGACATTTCGCCTGCATCTACGGCAAGCATCTTCACAGGTGGTGAAGTCTGTTGGAAACTAGGCAAGTGAGGTTTAGATATCTGTGGAATGTCCAGGGTGGGAGAAAGAACTCTTGTCTGCTCGAGGCAAATATGCATGTTGCAATTGGCCAGTGTGATTAGCATTGAATAGCTTTGCAGCTTCAAAGCCTGGCTGCTTCCTGGCACAGATATATAAACCTCACTTGTCTAGTTTCCAACAGACCTCACAACCTGTGAAGATGCTTGCTGTAGATGCAGGAGAAATGTCAGCAGAAAATGCTTCTGGAACATGGCCATACAGCCTAGAAAACTCATAACAAGCCATCTTTTTTACATCTGTTCAACTCCTTTCCTCTGTTCCATATATCTGAGGAACATAGGAAGCAGCCAGGCTATGAAGCTGCAAGGCTATTCAATGCTAATCAAGCTGGTGAATTGCAACATGCACACTTGCCTCAAGCAGACAAGAGTTCTTTCTCCCACCCTGGACATTCTACAGATATATAAACCTCACTTGCCTAGTTTCCTCACAACCTTTCAACCTCTGCGGATGCCTGCCATAGATGCAGGTGAAACGTCAGGAGAGAATGCTTCTGGAACATGGCCATACAGCTTGGAAAACTCACAACAACCCATCTATTTTTACATCTGTTCAACTCATTTCCTCTGTTTATTAGTTGTATTGCATAGACCAGTGTTTCTCAACCTTCCTAATGCCACAACCCCTTAATACAGTTCCTTATGTTGTGGTGACCCCCACAACATGAAATCATTTTTGTTGCTACTTCATAACTGTAATTTTGCTACTGTTATCAATTGCAATGTAAATATCTGGTGTATTTTCATTGACTGGACCAAATTTGACACAAATACCCGATACACCCGAGTTAGAACATTAGTGGGTTTGGGGGGGGGGGGGGGGGTGATTTTGTCATTTGGGAGTTGTGGTTGCTGGGATTTATAGTTCACCTACAATCAAAGAGCATTCTGAACTCCACCAATGATGGAATTGAACCAAACTTGGCACACAGGATTCCCATGACCAATAGAAAATACTGGAAGGGTTTGGTGAGCATTGACCTTGAGTTTTGGAGTTGTAGTTCACCTACATCCAGAGAGCACTGTGGACTCAAACAATGATGGATCAGGACCAAACTTGGCACAAATACTCAATATGCCCAAATGTGAACACTGGTGGAGTTTGGGGGAAATAAACCTTGACATTTGGGAGTTGTAGTTACTGGGATTTATAGTTCACCTACAATCAAAGGTCATTCTGAACCCCACCAATGATAAAATTGGACCAAAATTCCCACACAGAAATCCCACGACCAACAGAAAATACTATATTTTCTGATGGTCTTTGGCGACCCCTCTGACACCCCCTTGTGACCCCTCCAGGGGTCCCGACCCCCAGGTTGAGAAACACTGGCATAGACAATGCTGTCTTCTTTCAATGTCCATATGAAGAATACGTACTACTATTTCTACAGAAGCAAATGCTTCATATGAAACAACAACCATAAGTACAGTGTTATGCTGTAAGATTTTGTAACCAACCAAGCATTTTATGAACACGTCTGCTCCAAGTAGATGTGTAGCAATATTATCTTAATGCAAACAAGGAAACCATGCATTCTAAAGAAATCCAGATCCCGGTGGTATTGCTAAATGTTATTGCTAAATGTAAACATTGGTAAAACTTCCAATTATTTGATCAAAAATATAGACGGGTGTCTTTTCTGTAATTCTAGCTCTTTTAAGTGGCTACCCAGCACGAATTTGGAAATTTTTGGAAGGGAAAAGACTTTGGGGTGGAAGCCTTACCTGGCCCAGCTACTCCTTCCTTGAGTAGATTGCTGCATTCCTGCTGAATTCTGTCCAAGCTCTGGAACATTGCTGGAAAGACAAAAAGAAAACCATATCACATCTGTGGAGGGATGGTGCCTCTGGATCACAGGGCTTCCTCTTCCTGCTACTCCTTTCCCATTCTGTTTCTTCTCATTTTTTCGCTGTGCATCATGTTTGCCAGCTTCTGTCACGGTCAATGCCAGCTGTGGAGGAGCAATGCCAGTGATGATGGTGGCAAGGGATTGGAAAAGGAGAGGGAAGCAATGAAAAAAGGATAACATCTACCAGCCTGTATCATTCCTTGGACAATGCCATCAAATTTATACTACATCCTGAAGTCTTCATTCTGAAGCAGCCAGGCTTTGAAGCTACAAGGCTATTCAATTCTAATCAAGCTTGACAATTGCAATATTCACATTTACTTCCAACAGACAAGAAAATATTTCTTACTGTGTTTGCACATTTATTTTGAAAAATATAATAATAATAATAATAATAATAATAATAACTTTATTTGTACCCCGCTACCATCTCCCCAAGGGGCTTGGTGCGGCTTACCTGAGGCCGAGCCCACAATACAACAATAAAAACAATAGCAACAGTAATACAAACAATAAATAAAACTCATAAACAGAAAATAGCAATAAACATTAACAATAACACAACAACATTTAAATGATAATCATCATTGCATCCAGTCTGATAACACAGAGATCAATATAATTTGGAAAGATTAACAAAATTCCCTGCTTTGGAATGAAAGCTTGCTAATTAATTGACTTGGAAAAATCCCAGTGGAGTCCGAAGGATATTTTCATCAGCCAACAGCATTGCTCAACCATTTGGAAATCAAGTACATATCTTCTCCAAACACTACTGCTGGAATCAGACACTTTCTGACCCAAATATGTTGCAAAACCCTTTATCCCAATAGGAATCCCAGTTCTCATTATTTTGTGTGCCCCTCGAATCTGGAAGACTTTTGTTGGAAAAATTATTTTGCTTCTTTGAAACTATTTTCTGGTGAGGACAGCCAGTTTGGAGCTTTTCATCATTATTTTTAAAAGGCATCAATCCCATCCGTGGCTGATAGAAGACCAGGATCCTGGCAGTTAGCTTTGGCATCAGTTTGATCTCACTAAGCAGTTTTGTCATGGAAAAGCCTTTCCAAATCAGTTTGAAAGGTCTGCCTGAGTTAGGCTGAAGATGGCTGGAAGATACTGGTGCTAAACTTTTAATAAAGAGCTAAGTAGAGTTTAAAAATCTGTGTAAGGACCAAGTAGCAACAGTAAGAACTGACCATGGAACAACAGACTGGTTCAAGATTGGGAAAAGCYTACAGCAGGGTTGTATCCTCTCACCCAACCTATTCAACTTGTATGAAAAACAATTTGCAGGGCTTGATGAATGCAAGGCTGGAGTTAAAATTGCTGGAAGAAACATTAACAACCTTAGATATGCATATGATACCACTTTGATGGCCAAAAACGAGGAYGAGCTGAGGAGCCTTATAACCAAGGTGAAAGAAGAAAGTGCAAAAGCTGGGTTGCAYRWAAACATAAAAAAACCCCCAAGATTACAGCAACAAGAAAGATTGACAACTGGGGAATAGAGGGAGAAAACATGGAGGCCGTGACAGACTTTGTATTTTTGCAAAGATTATTGCAGACGCGGCGTGCAGCCAGGAAATCAGGAGACAATTACTTCTTGGGAGGAGAGCAATGTCCAATCTTGATAAAACAGTGAAGAGTASAGACATCACACTGGCAATGAAGATCCGCATAGTCAAAGCAATGGTATTCCCCATAGTCACCTACGGATATGGGAGCTGGACCATAAGGAAGGCTGAGAGAAGGAAGAGAGATGCTTTGTGCTGTGGTGTTGGAGGAAAGTTCTGAGAGTGCCTTGGACCGCCAGAAGTCCATACTTCAGGAAAGAAAGCCTGACGGCTCATTGGAGGGAAGAATAGTAGAGGCCAAGATGAAGTACTTTGGCCACATCAGGAGAAGAAAGGAAAGCTTAGAGGAGACAATTATGCTGGGGAAAATGGAAGCAAAAAGGAAGAGGGGCTGACAAAGGGCAAGATGGATGGATGGCATCCTTGAAGTGACTGGATTGATCTTGAAGGAGCTGGGGGTGGTGATGGCTGACAGGGAGCTCTGGTGTGGGCTGGTCCATGAGGTCACGAACAGTTGGAAATGACTGAACGAATAAACAACAACAGAGTTAAACAAATTATATATATTTGATTCCATGGCTGCAGAAATGTATGTAGTGGTTTGATTAGTTTGATTAGCATTCTAGACAAAAGTAAGAGATCGATTATGATCTCCAAATTGAAGCCTTGCCAGGTTTGTGCCAGGCAAACCAAATGGTGGAATAGGACGCTCTGTGTTTGTCTGTGTCTTATAATTTAGTTGATCAGAGTAAACAGTTTTTGTAAAGCTTCCTGTGGTGCAATGTGTTAAACGTTAAACCCTTGTGTCGGCAGGATTGCTGACTGACAGGTCAGCAGTTCAAATCTGGGGAGAGCAGGTTGAGCTCCCTCTGTCAGCTCCATCTCCCCATGTAGGGACCTGAGAGAAGCCTAGAAAGTATACCTGAAGACCTAATGTTTTGTAGGCTGACATTTTTCTTACCATTGACCTCAGAATACAGTGTAACTCACCAACATCTGTAGAGATGGGTCATAGTACATATTAATTGTGGGCCTATCACTTAAAAAAGATGATTTATTGTTTCAGTGATAGCTTTGCTAGTCAAAGAAAAAGCAGGCATCCTTTAAAGAGAAAGGTCTCAAGAGCCACAGAGATGAATCAAAGGCTTAAGTACAGTGCTCTGTAATCTGAGCTTTCTCAATAAATCTTTCCCAATAAACCCTGTTTAGTTCTCTGAACAGACTCTACAGAAACGCAGGGCTTTATGGGTTGGCTGGGAGGTTCTTGGAACTTAAGTGGAAGACAGTGTTCAACTATGTATATTTCGATGCAAAGACAGTGCAAAACTAACTTGGAAGATCTCTTCTTCTCTGGAGGTTTTAAAGCAGAGACTGGATTGTCATCTAATGGGACTTCTTTGTGTGTTCCTACCTGGCAGAATGGGCTTGGACCTTGTGGTCTCTCCCAGCTCTATGTTTCTTTGAATCTCCTTTAAATGCTTGAGTGTATTCATTATTGTTCTCTCACACTCCCACTGACTAAGGCAGGTTTTGAGGCCAAAGTTAACAGATTTTGATGTGACCCATGGATAATTCGAGAGTCATTCTGTGGAGAGCAGAAAGGCAACTTGCCCCAATCTATATAAATAAAAATGTAATGTTCTTTTGTGGGATTAACATAACTGAAAAACCACTGGACGAATTGTTGCCAAATTTGGCCACAAGACACCTACTAACTCAAGGAGTGACCCTCACTAAAAAAATGATTTTGTCATTTGGGAGTTGTAGTTGCTGGGATTTATAGTTCATCTACAATCAAAGAGCATTCTGAACTCCACCAATGATGGAATTGAACCAAACGTGGCACACAGGACTCCCATGATCAACAGAAAATACTAGAGGGGCTTGGTGGGCATTGGCCTTGAGTTTGGGAGTTGTACTTCACCTACATCCAGAGACCACTGTGGACTCAAACAATGATGGATCTGGACCAAACTTGGCACAAATAATCCATATGCCAGTGGTTGTCAACCTGGGGTCCCCAGATGTTTTTGGCCTTCAACTCCCAGAAATCCTAACAGCTGGTAAACTTGCTGGGATTTCTGGGAGTTGTAGGCCAAAAATATCTGGGGACCCCAGGTTGACAACCACTGCCATATGTCCAAATATGAACACAGATGGAGTTTGGGGAAAATAGACCTTGACATTTGGGAGTTGTAGTTACTGGGTAGTTACTATAGTTGTAGTTACTATAGTTCACCTACAATTAGAAAGCATTCTGATCCCCACCAATGACAGAATTGGGGCAAACTTCCAATGACCAATGACAGAATTGGGGCAAACTTCCCACACGGCACCCCCATGACCAACAGAAAATACTGAAGGCCATCCAGTCCAACTCCCTTCACCAGGGCAAGAAAACTTAATCAAAGCCCTCTTGAGAAAGAACCATCCAGCCATAGATGTAGATATATATGATTCACACACAGAGGGATATAGTATCATAGATTTGAAAGGGACCTCTAAAGAATGACAATGATATGTTGCATGTTCCAGAGTAGGCAAACCAGACAATCTCCACATCAACACTGACAAAAAAACAGCAAGAAATACTGTTTACCCACAAGCAGAAAGACATGACATATATTAGAAAGCAACACTTTCGCATTACTTTATTTTCCAGATCACCAAACTGGGCCACAGCAACGCGTGGCAGGGGACGGCTACTCTATATAAATAAAAATGTAATGTTTGTTTGTGGGATTAACATAACTCAAAAACCACAGGACAAAATGACACAAAATTTGGCCCAAAGACACCTAACGGACCAACGAGTGACCATCACTCATAAAAACACTGAAAAACACAGTGGAAGGGACTTAAACCTCCCCCCAAAACCTAAATGATGATACAGTGCATGCGTGGAAACAACTCCCCTGACCCCGTCCTCTCCTGCGCAAGGGAAAGAGCTGGCCATACTAGTTTTGAGAGGAAAGAAAGAGGTAGAGAAGTAATAAAGGAAAGGTAAAGAGAAAGAAAAAGTGCGGAAGGAAGAGAAAAGGGAGGGAAAGAAGGAAGGAAGGAAGGAAGGAGAAAAGGGAAGAAAAAAGAGGGAAGGAATGATAGCGAGTGGGAAGGCAGGAAAGAAGGAAGGAAGGAAGGAAGGAAGGAAGGAAGGAAGGAAGGAAGGAAAGAGACATAGCAAAGGATGGAGAGAAGGACAGAGGGAGGGAGGGAGGGAGGGTAGGAGGGAAGGAAAGAGGTAGAGAAAGAAGGAAGGAGAGAAAGAAGAAGGGACAGAAAAAGGGGGGATAAGTAAGGAAAGAGGTAGGGAAGGAAAAAAACAGACTAAGGCCACAGCAAAGTGTGACTGGGGACAGCTAGTTACTAA